GTGATTTGATGTATTTTGTTACAGTGATGGACATTCTACTATCAATTTCCAGTGTCTCCTTTTTCAATCAATAGGCACTATTTCTTGTGTCTCAAGTCTTTCATTGTTATATATAGAAGACATTTATACCCTTTATAGTGGAATGATATTATTTGGACTTGATTGGATATTATTATTCATATGCATTGAAAGTTTTATTGCATTCGTATCTTAGCCTTCATTAATGTAGGTGGGAGATACTCGTGCATTCTGTAGTTGACTATTATTGCTTGTAAGTACAGTACACTTGACCTTATAGGAATTGTTATGGGAGTTCGTTGCATTCATCATGTATAAGCCAGCATCATTCATTGTGTGCTTATGTATTCAAGTATTGATGAACGGTCTTTATTTATGATTGTCTAGATGTTGTGAATTGAGTATTGCTTCTTATTTGTATGCATTGAGGTCTTGTTCGTTATGAGTCCCCTACTTGTTTTCTTGTATTTATTTGAATGTATTAAATTGTTATTTGACATTTGTATTTGGATCTTGATTGTGTATTTAAGGACTTGGGGTTCAATTTCATGTAGTTTAGTTCAATTCCTATTTCCTCTTGTTAGTACAAGTCCTCTACATAATTTGTTCAAGTATAGGTCCTCTGTATTGTTGCTCAATTGGAGTCTTTTTGTTATCTAAGTTATGTATATTTTAGTATGAATTTTAGTAGCATCCCGACATATCCCCCATTTGGGAGAAATATAGGGAGTCTGTCATAGTCATCAATCCCACCATGCTAAGAAAAATGTGTATGGGACTCCAGAGGTACCTCCTAAAAAAAGCACTGTGGTTTCCTCACAGACACTAAGATGCATCAGGGTTCTTAAAGTTGTCCATGCCATGCTAAGAAAAGCGTGTATGGGGCCTACCTACCTCATCGCATGTGTCACACCGAGTTTCCTCCACTAAGCTAAGAAAATGTATATATGTAGTCGACCGGCTCATCACACACAACGAAGACGAGATTTTCGGTTCAAGAGCTGCTTACCTATCTCGTTGTATGGGTCGCACTAAGTTCCCTCCTGCCACACTAAAAAATCGTATATGGTTGACCAGCTCGTCATGTACATCAAGGACAATATTTTAGGTTCAAGAGCCGCTTATTTTCCTAATCGCATCGGGTTTCCACCTACAGGCTAAGAAAAGCATGTATAGGTGGTGATTAGAGCATCACGCACACTGATGTAAGATAAGAGTTCTCTTTTAAAGTTAATTATAATTAAAATGATTATTTAAAATTAATTATCACTAATAATAATTAATTATTATTATTATAGTTAAATATAATTAATTATAAATATTTTAAATAGAGAATTTGAGCCGAATTAAGGAGGATTAGAGCAGGATTTAGGCGGAATTTGAATAAGATTTATGCTAAATCCTTCCAGACGGGATTTGATCGCATTGTAAATCTAATGGCGGAATAAATCCTCTGTTTCCCTCTATTTATTGTAAATCCCAGATTTACTATCTCTATAGTTCAGTTGATTTGCAGGATCTGGCCAAGAAGCACGCGATGGAGAGAAAGTTGCCTTCACGCGAGCGAGCTTCCGTTGCTTCCAATCAAAATGTCGTAATTTTCGATCCGACAGGGATGGGAACGTTATTGAGCGAAGCTGAAGAAGCGCATGAAAGGAGGAAAGTTTCCTTGACGGCGAGTGAACTCCGTTTGTTGCTTCCGATCAAAGTGTCATAACTTCCGATCCAATCGAAAGGGAACGTCGTTGAGAGAGCCGGAGAAGCACATGAAAGGAGGAAAGTTACCTTCACTGTGAGCGAACTCCGTTTGTTGCTTTCGATCAAAGTGTCATAACTTTTGATCTGACTGGAAGAGGAAGTCGTCGAAGGAACAAAGTCGATCAGGGATGGAGCGAAGAAGTGTGCGGGAGGGAGAAGGAAAAGAGTGGAAGAATGGCTGAAAGCCTCATTTCTTTTGCCTTTTAACGATGTCAGGCGAGTCATGCTGAGAGGATGACCTAAATGGCGTCGAGACGTGCCATAAGGGGAACGTCCGGTCGGAGTAAATTTCCCGTCCAAAAATTAGGTATTTGTTCCGTACAAATTAGGTATTTGTTCCGTACAACTAGGTATTATTTGATAATAATGAAGAATACCGTTCTCTGAAGACCAATACCGAGTTATACCGAGCTGTACAAAGAAATACCGAGTTGTACCGAGTTTTTCCCAGAAAAACTCGGTACAACTTTGGTATAACTCGGTATTTGCTCGGTAAAGCCCGGTATAATCAAATGATGGTATTCTTCTTTATTGTTTGATATTGCTCGGTATTTGCTCGGTACAACTCGTTTTTTGGCGGAAATTTGCCTCCGACCGTACGTTCCTCTACGTCCTTGCACCGAACGTAATAAAAGTTCGTTAAGGGGTGTACGACGTGCGAAGGTGACATCGTCGTGCATGGGGGTTTGTGGCTAGATGTTCGAATAGGTACAATTTTTTTTTTTTTTTTGGTATTCAGATACAAGTCAACAAAAGGCCTTAAAATATGTTTATTTTCTTATTAGACTTTAGGAAACTCATATTAACAATTATAATAAGAGAAATTTTGGTCTCATACACATTCAATATGGAATATTATAAAAAATAATAAGAGGTAGCCGTATGAAAAAAAAAATATTTAGATCAATTAAGATAAATTCATACACATAATATTTATATAAGACTTGAACATAATACCTTTTAGTTGATAGTCAACAGTCTCAACCAACTGACCAAATTTAGCTATGTGTCATATGAAATATAGAATCACAGCATAAGATAATTATCAAAATGATTCAAAATAATTCTAAAAATATTTTCAAACCTCCCTTTCATTGGGTTAAGCCAATTACTTTACTTCAAGGTAGATATTTCTAATATGTCATGCCATGTCATCTATAGTTATTTTAGACATAACTATTTGAAGTCTTATTATCAGTGGAAGACAAAGCAAAACCTTGGATGGATTATTTGATAAACATCTTCCTTTATTGTTTATTTTTGGGCATAAATATACATAAAAAATACTTTGAAAGATCAATCTTATCCTTATAAAATAAAATAAAATAATTTTAACATGCTAATTATCAAGACCAAAAGCCTTCATCATCTGTTTTTGGCTTGATATATATTTTATGTAATCCCTCTTCTTTGTGTAGAATTATTTTAATTAAAAATAGATATTGATTGTTCTTGCAAGCGATGCATAGGAAGAGATCAATCGCGAATGCAAGTTCCCATGAATAGTTGTAAGAGACAATGATTGTAGATAACGTGTTAAGCATATGATGGGAGTATTTGCAAAATTGCAAATACTCACGAGCTGTTGCAACACCCTTGCACTCGATAATCATTTAGCAATAGTCAAATACACTGGTCCTCTTTAGGCAGAAGTAGATGATGTATAGAAAATGCAAATACCTGTGAGTAATGGTAGAAGACCCGTTGTACACATAACATGTCATCTACAAGAAGGATGCAAGGAGCCTATAACAAGTCCTAAGATACTTATATAGCATGCAATAAGGTAGTAGAAATAGATGTACTTGTTTCCTATAGGCAGGGGGGTTCAACATGCGATAAACTGAAAGACATGACATTTTTGAATAGTTCTAAGAGAATACAGCTCTCATGCAATTAATATTATTCAGTCATAGACAAACACACTAGCTCTCTACCAGTAAAAGCAGAGGATACATAGCAAATACAAATTTTCAAAGACCCATTGTACACCAAATGTGTTGTCCACAAGCAATAATGCAATGTGATTGTATCAAATGCAAATTCCCACAAATTGTTGTAGGAAATTTGTTGTGCATACGACAGGTTATATGTGAGCGAGTACAAAAAAATTGTAGCGAATACAGTTACCTACGAACAATATCAGGAAATTTGTTAGTATTGAAATAAGCTACCTGCAGGAAGTAACAAGTAGTGAACAATATTTTACCTATACAAAACAACAAACAACTCAATCTATAAGTTGCTACATCATACCACCAGATCCAAAATATCCATGCAATCAGACAAAAAGTGTTTACAGATATCCCAAAATGCCTCCACACTTACACTACAATAAGTATGCACAAAAACATGAATAAATGTATATGCAATCAAACACCCGCATGGGCCCCGACGAACAAATTATGGGTACACAAGTGACATCTAGAGATGTTGCATGGGTCAATAAATGAACCCAAGTTCAAGCCGAATCCTTCTATATGGATAGATAAGAACCGATATGGCTCGAATTATTAAACATAAATATGGTCAAGGTATCAACAATAATATCTATTTTATACATTCATATTAGCCCTTCAAGATCTATAACAAAAAAAAAATTCATCAACAAAAATATAAAACCTGTGAACCCGATCCTCTGTCAACAAGTTGATAGAGTTTATAAGGTTTAGTTAATGAAATTCTTAAATACTTGTTCATCCCGATAACAATCGATTTCAACGGGAGAGGTCAACTTTAAATATTTTAAAAATATAACCCAAATTCTCATAAATTTCAAAAATGTCAATCTCAAAATATTTAAAATTGAAATAAATTCATCAAACAGGTAAAGCAAAATCCATCCACACTATACATTAGTTTGTTGAGGTGGACATTGAAATTACTTTAGCTCACAAATGGCTAGTGTTTGGTCGAGAATATCACTAAGATTCATTCTCAATTAATCTCTTAACAGTAAAGACGTGGCACGTGTCCTCTAACCGATGCTTTTATCGCCAAATAGCACCGCAGGTAAATGATTATCATCGGGGCCCTGTAAACCTGGTGGTTTGCTGTCAAATGGCACCACTAAATTACAATTATGGCCAAAGCCCAAAAGCTCCCCAATGCTATCAAACCCAATATGCATTCCCAAAATTCCCTCCAAAACTTAATATGTTAAAACTCAAAAACAACGAGGCCGAGGGGCAAATTTTCAGAGCCCAGATCAAGTATACCACATGTTGAACAGATGAAAATTTAAAGAACATAAGGAAAAGATATCAAATAATTTCAAATCCAAATCAGCAATTTCGTAAATTCTATGCCATCTCTACGAACTACTAACCCATCTGTTAAACTTGCGAGCCAGATCATACATAAAAGGAGTGCAGTAAGATCAGGTTCAAATCACAGAAGAGAAAGCCCCAAACATAAGATCAGCTTTGATAACTACTCTTTGAAGCATTTTTGTTTTAAATCTTTGGTCTCTGAGAACTTCATCATCAGTGCTACCTCAATATTTCCTGAATTTCGAGCACCTGGTTTCTTTGCTCAGGGGGCAGGAGGTTAATTTGTTCGGGTGTGAGCATCAACACTTGCTGAAGTACAGCCTTCTCCATCTCAGGTGATAACTGGACAACACCAAAAAAAAACACAGGTAATCAAATTTGAAGAAGTAGATCAAAATAGAACTAAAATTTGACAATCGCTCAAGATTGAACTGATTTTTAACTCGGATTGAACCAAACGAGTTAAGCGGTGAGCCAAATTTTGGGCTCGATTTGATCATTGAGCTGATTTCAAGACTTGGCAAGAATTCGATCTAGTCGGCTTGAGATAGGCATCAAATATAAAAAATATGTTTTTTTTTAAATTTAATACGTATGTGTTTAAAAGTATATAAGCATTATAAATATAATGGCATGCATATTAAATAATTTTAAAAATTATAAAAATAAATAAATTAATAATTTTTAGCCGACTCAATTGAAATTCAAGGCAACTTGTACTCAGGTTGGTTCAAGCCTAGTAGGCTCAAAATCAAATCAATTTGATGCACAAGCCAGTTTTGAGCCAACTTGTATGGGTTCAAGCTAATTTCCAGCTAACATGGGAATGAGAGAAGGTTACCAGTGGCAAACGAGGTGGCTGACCAACGGGGCCGGTGGCTATCTGGCCAAGGGATGGTGGTGATGGGCCTGCCAATGGGCCAGCATTGGGTTTTTCTGTTAAGCCTGGTATCCAAGGTCCTCTTTCAGCATGCATGAAGGTTCCTGCGGGGTTTCTGTAGTCTGAACTCATTAGTGACCCACCCTGTATGCAATTAAGAGTGCCACAATTTCAACTATAACATTTAAAAAAAAAAACATAGTAGGATCATAGGAATTACTTCCCATTACAAGAATATAGACTTTTAATCTTCAAAAGGAATAATTAAAGAAATTAAAAAAAAAACTAATCAATAGCTCCTTCACATTAGAAAAGCATGGCTTCTGATTCAGATGCATAAGACCGTAGCTTTAGCAGACAATAGCTCAGATATGTCATAAAAACAATTTTAAGGCCCTTTTTTTTTAAACAATTTTAAGACCCTTGAATCTAAGAAAAGGTGAAAATAAAGTGAGAAGAAAATGTTAAAATCTAAACACCCATAAAAAAAATGTTAAAAGCTATTAAAATAAAAGGTTGAAAAGCATTAAAAAGTTGTTTTAAGAAGAAGTAAGAAAGCCATCTCAAAAGAACCCCTAAAATCACTGCATGGATGCGGTGGGTGTCAATCTAGATAATTAAGGCAATCTGATTCTATAGTAATTCTTGTTCTTAGCATGCTTCAGTTTGTTGCCTTATTAATAGTCTACATTAGGGGTGTAAACGAGTCCAGTATTGGTACTATCGAGCTCGGGTCGTCAGTCAGAAAGCCGGCTCGAACTCGAGCTTTGAGCTCAAGTCGAGCTCAAAAGGCGAGCTAGAACTCGAGCTTGTCCCACTATATACGAGCCCGATTCCTGCAGTTTGCACTAGCGTGCCCAAGTTCCACCTTAGGTCCAAATTCAGATCGTCTTCCGCAGGCCCTCCTCGAGCCCATAAACGATATCACGTCTCAGTGTCCGCCAGTCTGCCTCAACCCTCGAGCCAGCATGTCCAGCAGGATTTAAAAAAAAATTATTCATTTCTAATAATTTTCAAATTTTGATAAATAAAATAAAAATTATTAATATTGATTCGAGCCGACTCGCGAGCCGAGCCTCACCAAGCTCGAGCTTGTTTAATAAAGCTCGGCTTGCGAGCCCATAAACGAGTCGAGCTCAAACCGGCTTAGCTCACTTACACCCCTAATCTCCATTATCAAATCTTCAGTTAGTTGCCAGAGATGCAACTCAAAGAGAAACAAAAAAAATATATAGAAAAGGGTCTGCGATGTGACCATACTGCTATTATCATTTTTACCAGCGAAATAAAGGAATGGCAGCCTTACTATTTTTCAAGAAAATAAAGTCACTGGAATTATTCCTATGTTTGTGTCCTGAGAATATATACGAGGGTAGTGAAATTGGCATACAGCAGAATATAAGGAAAATACAATTGGGAGAGATGCTTCTTCTTAAATTTTAAAAACTAAATAAAAGCTTGAAGTGAATTAAAACTTGAAAAAGATAAAGTCGTCATATGCATTTCAAGAACATTGTAAATGACGTTGACAACCAGAAAGACTATACAGTAGTCCGTAATTTGTTGAATGTGTCTTTGAATAAATACCAATCATCACTAGCCTCATTACCCAAACTATTTCGATAAAAAATAGGATTATTTGGATGAGCTATGTGATACGCCTTAGGTTTCACAAATTAGAGTTTGCCCTAATTTTCCTTCAAGATGAAATTTCTCCTCCAAATCCAATAAAAAATTCAACACAAGAGGGATGAGAGGAAGAACAAGAACATTTGCATTCAAAATCCAAGAGAAACAAGATACAATTTGTCCACTTCGAGAAGGACAAGGTCTCCCACTACAAACCCTAGAAAAACAAGAGAAAGAAACTAAGAGGCTAAGAGAAAACTTCAATCTTGCATAACCCTAGAAATCTCCCCCCATTCCTTACTTATAGCAAGCCAAAAGACCAACAAAACCCACTAGTGGGCTGCCCAAAATGAACCGCCCAGCTCAGGGCAAACCCGAGCCAAACCGGTCCAGGATTGGACCGGTTCCGCTCAGCCCAGGCGCTCCGTCGCGTCCCGTGCTCCCCTTCGGCTGGCCGACTCGCGCGACATCCCCCCCCCCTCCGCTGCTTTCGCTGCGCCCGCGGGTCCCGTCCCTTCCTCTGCTGGCGGAAGGCGGATCGCATCACTATGCAAGCAGAAAACTCTTCAACCTCTACTTTTGGAATCCTATAACTTCCCACGCAAGATAAACTTAGAAAGCGCAAGTACCCCCTACCCTACTCATTCAACTTTTCCTTGTTGGAGTTGAGCCTCTTTAGTTAAGTTTTGGTTTACCGCTGCTTTCGCTGCGCCCGCGGGTCCCGTCCCTCCCTCTGCTGGCGGAAGGCGGATCGCATCACTATGCAAGCAGAAAACTCTTCAACCTCTACTTTTGGAATCCTATGACTTCCCACGCAAGATAAACTTAGAAAGCGCAAGTACCCCCTACCCTACTCATTCAACTTTTCCTTGTTGGAGTTGAGCCTCTTTAGTTAAGTTTTGGTTTACAGGACTCTTGCAGATAGTGTGATCCAACGCAAGATTTGCAACTGTTGTGCGGGATTCTTGTAGCTTTCGATCTAAAGTGAGACTTGTGTGACTGTTGTGTGAGATTCTTGCCACCTTTTCACGGTCAAATATTATGATGCCAACTATGGAGGTCAATCCTTCTTTTACCTTTTTGTTTACTATATGGTAAACTTTATTATCATCATGAAATAAATGACTTCCTTAAATCAAGCACTACACATTCTCTCTCCTCTTTTTCGCTTGTGCTTTGGCGAAACATCTTTCCCCTTTTTCCGCTACAGTGCTTCCTCGAGTTTTTAGGGTTTCCATTCCAATCTTCTTGTTTGGCCCAACTTTTCTGCCATCCTAGGGCCTTTTGGCCTTAGGCCCTTCTCATGTGCTGCCATGGCTTCAACATCTAACCCATGGGGTTCTCTTCCGGCGATCTCCAATCGCCAAAATCAGGTTTCTTGGCTTTGTCGGATGGTAAGAAACCTTCTTTCTCTAGATCTTTTAAGGATGTAGTGGCTGGTTTGTCTGATTCTAAGAATGTTGATCTTGCTTTCAAAAAATTATCTATTAAAGGTTTTCTTGCGATTTTGTTTTCCAATGAGGGTGTTGTTCGGCTTGCTGCTCCTTTCCAGTTTACTCTTGTCAGTAAATTTGTTGTGTGTCGTCCGAACTTGGATATTATTCGCAATTTTTTTCATAATCTGAAATTATAGGGTAATTTTTCTATGGGTTTGTTGGATTTAGGCATGTTTCTATACAACTTTCAAACAATCTTGACTATAGTCGTATTTTTTCACAAATATCTTATTATATTAGTAACTGTTAGATGAGGTTGCTGAATTAGACGCCTTATTTCAATATTAAGAAAGAATCTCCTATAGTTCCGACATGGCTCTCTTTTTCTAACCTTTAGCTTCATTTTTTTAACCAGCATGTTCTTCATGCCCTTGGTTCTATTTTTGGTAGACCTTTGCAAACAGAACAAGTATCAACCAACAACCTCTAGATCGAGACCTTCAGTTGCTAGGATCCTCGTTGAAATAGACATAGCCAAAAAGCATCCTAAAGAAGTTTGGCTAAGTTCTGAAAGTCTTGGCTATTTACAAAAGGTGGAGTTTGAGAATATCCCTAACTTTTGTAACCATTGTAGAATTCACGGTCACTCATTCACTGAATGTTGTTGCTCATCCTCAATTGAAAAATAAGCAGAGTGATCCAAAGAATGTTAATCCCAAAGAGATTGGAGTGGAGAAAGTCTGTGAGCCTTCACAGGTTCAGTTCATTACGAAAGAGCATTTAGGTGATGGCAAGGATAATGATTTGGATTTGGAATCAGCTCAGGGGGTCGAGGATTGTTTGGAGCAAATTTGTCACAAACCTATTCAAGTGCAACATCAGATAGATGTGGCCGAAAATTTAGAACCTTAAGACTCTTCTAATGAGACTCCTATTAATAATCTCAATTCGGATCTTTATGATGCTCGGTCGGATAAAGATAAGAAGGAAGATAATAGTAGCCACGAGATATGTAATGATGAATGCAATGATATCAACAATATTAGGGGGGAGGATGTTGAAGAAGGAGAGGTTTTGCCGTTAAATAAGGAGCCTTCTAATAGCAATGATATTAGAGATATTAAATACGAAACCATTTTATCTAAAGCCATCACCGGATTCAAATGAGGGAAAGGATCATTTGAATCAAGGTTTTGTTAAATTTACTACAAAAAATGTAAAAATATCAAGGAAATTCTGGCATCTACTCCTCGGTTTGCCAGATCTTCAAATTTTTCAAAGACTTCTAATGTTTAATTCCCTTATTTGGAATATAAGTGGGGTTAGTGGTTCTGTCTCAAGAGATGGAGTGAGGAATCTGTGTAGAGTTCGTAAGATTTCTATTTTGATTTTAATTGAAACCTTTAATTTATGTTAACAAACTCGATTCTACTCATAGGTTTCTTGGTTTCAACAAGACTTTTGCTAATTGCACTATTAAATTTAGCTTTTTTGATATAGTACTATTAAGATTGACATCATCTAGGATTTTGCTCAGATTTTCCAAAATAGAATTGAATTTCAACAACTTATTTGTTATGGGTCTTATGTGTATGCTTCTTGTAGTAGACAAGGTAGGATCTCTCTTTGGGACAACCTTCATAATTTTTCTATGGCTATTGATAAACCTTAGCTGATTGGTGGGGATTTTAATATAATTTCCAAAGCTAATGAAAGGATTGAGGGTTGTTTGCCTAATGATTTGGCCCCGGATGATTTTAATAGTTTGATATTATAATGTAATTTGCATGATATTGATTTTTCTGGTAATGCTTTGACTTGGAATAGAGGTATTATACGACAAAGATTGGATAGAATTCTTTTTCAGATGAATGGCTTACTAAGTTTCCGTTATCTCATATTGACCATCTGAGTAAAGCCTTATCGGATCATTCTCCTTTATTGCTGAGCATCAACTTAGCTATCCCTCGAATGAAGTCTTATTTTTGTTTCAAAACATGTGGTTGTTGGATGATGATTTTTTCAATGTTTTAGATACTAATTGTTTTGCTCCTTTAAATCCTGATGATAATATTAGAG